GTGTTCTTCGTTCATACTGTGTTTCATACAGTCATTCTCATGCATTATGTTTTATAATATTAATCACCATTGGACCTTGCCTGTCATTTCCCTGTCTTTTCAGGTCCCCGCCAGACCTTTCCCATTTCCTTCACTCCCTCCTGCCACTCCACATTCTAATTTTTGATGGCTTCAGGTAAGGATGGAGATACTGGGGCATAGTAGTTATTCCATCACGCTTACTAATTCAAACTATACTTGCGCAAGGGCACATGGACATTTCTCTGCTGTTTACTCTTAGGTGACATTGTAATGGCATTGGTGATTTTCACACAGTTGCCAAATATAATCCATCATTGTTACTAAATTCTAAAATCTCAAATTATTTTGTCCTACTGGAGGCTCTAAGGGAGAGAGAATGACGTGTCATGTGTCTTTCGTGAAACATAGCTGCTGTTTGCCACTGAGTGGTAACTGACCCATACCTGGCCCTCTAGTGTGTTTTCATAGGCAGTAAATAGCACAGGACAAGATGGCCCATCCTTCTCCCACAGTGCAGCTGGTGGATTCGAAATGTGCACCTTTGGGATTGCAGCGCAGCTCTTTCCCACTATGGCAGTCAATTACACTTCAGCATGACTGCTAAATAAATTTAGATGCCAAAAATCTAACACATAACTTGGATATGATGATGAGATTCTTTCCACAGAAATGTTTTGTGATTTGGACAGCTCTGGAATAGTTAACTTTTACCTCCTCTTCCACTCCCACGTGGCAGCCAGTACAGACCACCGTGAAGATGCTGCTTCTCTTTTTAGGTGTCAAGGAGCTGACCTATGATTCACAGGGCGCTCTGGTGGCCTAGTGGCCTAGTGGCAAGAAACCACACACGACAAACAGCCTGACTCATGGCAATCCCATGAATAACAGATCGGAACTCTGTCCTCTCCTGTGCCATCCTCACCATCTTGAACCCATTGTCAGGCACTGTGCCCATCCATCTTGCTGTTGTGAAGATGAAGCTGGTACAATTTCTTTGGGCCCAATTCAGAATTCCTCCTTCAGTCCCAGCTACACACTAGATTTGGCTCTGAAAGGAGAAGCCAGCCCTGAGAAAACCCTGCAGAACTGAATCAGGAGTTTTACCAACTGGTGAGCAACAACCATGTTTTGCTACACTTTCCAAAAACGACCTTCGAAATCCCACAAAAATAGGACCCTCCTCTGACCTCCCTCAACGACATACTGACAGAGACACACATGAAATGCGATTTTGAATTCTTTTAGAAGAATCTTATTGTTAACGAACAACTGAGCCTTTTGTCAGCCAAGCACACACTCTTTGTCCTCTCCAGGAAGCGTACTCGCTTGTGTTTCTCCTCCGCGGTTATATATCAGCTGAGCACTGGACCATCAACCCAGGCAGGGCAGCAGCTCACACACAGCACTGGGAGAAGCTTTCTTGGTCTTGGCTGGCTGCCATCCTGGCCTGTCCCGCCCCCTCCCCATATGTGAATGGGTGACTCTGAGTCAGGGGTGGTCCTCGATGCTGCTAAGGGCTTCTCCTGCCCTTTATCCACCAGGCCTGTTCTCCTCCTTTCCCACCCAGCTTTGCAGGGATTTCCGACAGGACAACAAGAGACTCCTTTGCACTCTGGCCCTACTCTTGAAAAACATAAGCCTCAGGGACGGCAGAAAACCCAGCTCCTCACGCAAAGGGATTGACCACACTGGCCCAAAGCTCCCTCACACCTCCCCATGTGGTACTCACCACTACTATGCATTACCTCACTGTGTTCTTACAAAAGCCCTCGTTCCAACAGGGCAAGAGGTGTGGAGGCAGACATTCCTGGAGGCGGATCCCTCCTGTGGGACTAAAGAGCCCAGCGACCTTGGGGAATCCTTCAATCTCTTGGAGCCTCGCTCTCTTCTGATAAATGGGACTACTTCAGCCCTGCCTGCCCTCCTTCCAAGAATAGTGCCCAAAGATAAAGGATGCGCAAAGTGATCACAAGCTAGAAAGCACTGTGCAGGCGAGCTCTGGTCCAAGGTCACACAGCTGGTTCAGGGCTGGCCTGGAACTAAGGTCCAGGTGTCTGGACTCCAGGCCTAAGCTGCCAGAGCTGCTTATTCCCTTTGGTTCAGCGGAGCACAGAGACCACCAGCTGGCATGGGGAGGCTGTGCCACATGGCTGACTCTCCTCTCCTGGGACCAGTCCCTCAACCTCATGTATCACCACCACCAGCGCAGCTACCTTCACTTCTAAATTTACACACACACTTACATACACACACTCACTCTCACACACATGCACACCTTTTCTCACATGGATCCCCAGGAACCACACACACTCCCTCTCCCATCCTACTCCTGCAAGTATCAATCTGTCAACATTCTGGAACCCTCAGGACATCTCTATTCTTGGAAATGAAGATTTCTGGAAGTGGGCAGGCAATAATGAAATCAAAAAGTGCCTTCGAGGTAGAAAAGCATTTCTCTAGTGAATTTGATTTCCCTTTTTTTGCCAATAACCAAGTCAGTGGCTCTGACTTTTTTTTTTAAAGTGGTTCTTTTATGATCATACTAGATGGCACTGTGGTATCACCCTTTTTCCCCAACCAAGAAAAGACTCACTTCATTTCAAATCACTGATTCCATTTGAGACACTCCAAGAGGCTATAGTCTCTGCTTTGAGGGGTCTGGATTGTCTGAGAGAAAGAGTTAGAGGCAACCTGCCAGAGCACCCAAGCCAATAAATAATCCAGATCACAGAGACTGAGTTAATAGTATTGAGACCACATGAGGAGGCCTGGAGGTGCAGCGGTTCAAAAATTATGTTGCTACCTAAAAGGCGGGTAGATCAAATCCACCAGCCACTCAAAAACAAAGAAAAATGGAAGACAATCAGCTCTCTTGAATATTTATGTAAGAAATCCTTATGAGGTCTGTGTGCTCTGGCCTGCAGCATAGCTGGGAGTGGGAACCAACTAGGCAGCAATGGGGATGTGTTTTATTTGGGTTTTTTACAGATCACCTTAGACCATGGCTTTGTGGATCCATATGTCACATCCTGGGCTGCTAGTTAGAAAGAGGGTAATTGTTTCAAAATCTCCAGGTGATCCAATGAGTCTTCTCTTTGGAAACTAAATGGAGGGTCTTCATCTGTTGGAAATGGCTCAGTGGCAGAAGGCTTGGGTTGCTGGATGCACCCAGGTGTACACTTTCAAATGGCATTAACTGTTAAAGTATATGTACCCTCTAGGATTCCAGATACAGCCAGGGTGGTGGCTAAGACCTCGGGTTGCTTTTTGGATTGGGTTTTTTTTTCTTCTCTGCCACAGTCATGGCTGTGAGATCCTATTTTTGTCCAAAAGCGATTTTTTTTTCTTTCTTTCCTTTCATACCACCACCCCTCACTACACCTACAAGCTCCATCAGCAAGAGAGCCTATGTTGCCAAATTGTTCGGGAGCTTTTTAAACACCAGGACCTTGTTGCGACAATGACTCACACAACTTTCCCCAGTGGAATGGGGTGGCCACCTGTCTGGAATCAAGGCTCTCTTGGGATATGCGAAAGGGGAGGTAAAGCTGCTAGAATGAGAAAGGAAATCAAAGTTGGACAAGTTTTGGTAGAATGGGTGTCATACCCAAAATGAAACCCAGTGTCTCTGAGTTTATTACAACTGGAAGTGACCCTACAGGACAGAGTAGAACCGCCATTCAGGGTTTCCAGGGTCTCAGTGACAAGGTCACAGGGCGGTGGCGGGGTATAAGAGACCTTACTTTACTGGCTGTTGCTTTCAAGTGCCACCAGCCAAAACCCACCGGGTCCCAGCACTGACTATCCCCATGTAGGGCCCCAGGGGCTCCGAGACGGGTTTGTCACTGCAGCAGCCCTTGGGGTCACCTGCAGGGAGGCAGGGAGCTCTGTCAGGCCTGCTCAGAGGTCTCATCTTAACTGTACCTTGCGGGTCTGACTCACTGTTTCCGTGGCCTGAACTCTCTGCTCCTGCCCAGATTTGTGTTCTGGAGGCTGGTGACTCGGAAACCCGGGCTGGGGCAACTGCACCCCAACATGGCCCTCCACCCCGCCTCCCTATACTGCACTCCCCGGCCTCAAGCAACCGGGCATTGCGGCTAAGGGGAGGAAAAACTCTCGCTTCAGCAGCAACTGGCTCCAGGCGCTTCCATAAATCAGCCCCTTTCCGCGTCAGCTTTGAGTTCTCGGCAGCTGGGCTGGCGGCGCCCTGCGCTCCAGGCGCAGGCTTTTGTAAATCAAGTGAGGCTGCCCGCAGCAGAACCCCACATGAGGTCTGGAACAGCATCCCCAACACACAAACAGCCTGCCTAACTTGTCTCTCTGCCCTCGGGGCGCCCCCCCTGCCCCTCCAAGCGCTGCGGAGGCCTCGCATGCACCACAAGCCTCTCTCGAAATGTCCCCAGAAGGCGGCAGAGGGACACCCACTCTTCCTGGGAGGGGAGGGTCTGGAAGGAGCAGGAAAGCAAGTGGGAGAGGGAAAGGAGGGAGAAAGAAGAAAAGAAGGGGCTCCAGAGAGTCACCCATTCGCCTCAGGAGAGTCAAACTGTGAGGGGGGGGAAGGAAAAAGTCAGGCAGGGAGAGAGGAAACAGAAGAAGAAACGCAGAAAAGGGGCAAGGGAGGGCTAGGAAAGCAAGCGTGAAGGTCCAGGAGTGGAAAGATCGGAAGCAAAGCAGGAGTAAGAGGGGGAGAGGATTCTAGCGCGGGGAAAGAGGCCAAGAGCAGGGACTGGAGGCTTCTGTGCCGGTGTAAGAAAGGAGCAGACTGGGAAGCAGTCAGGGACGAGGCGCCCAGCGCGCGCCAGGGCCGCTCTGCCTGTGGTGCCAAGTCTTCATGTCTCCCGGGCGCACTCCCACCGCCCAACCGGCCAACAGGGGCCGCAGCCAACGTGCGCTGGGCCGCCGCCAGAGCGCCCAGGGTCCCAGGTGGCGCCCCCCTGCCCTCTGCCCTCTACCCGCCTCGGTCGCGGGAGCGCACTCACCTGGCCGGTCTCAGCTTGGCATCGCGCTTTCCGTCCACCACAGCGGGCACGCAGCTAGTGAGCTCCGTCCAGTCAGCATGCAGCCCGCAGCTCCAGCCCGTGGAGAACCTGGAGAAGAGCCAAGTCTCCCTCTTGCCCGGCCGGTGGCAAGTGCATTTCTTCTGACCCACGCGGCACTCGCACGGCTGCTCCAGCTGGATGTTGCGCACCAGGTGGCGCCCGAAAGTGGTGCCCCCGGTCTTCTGGATGTGCAGGAACACGATCAGGTCATCGCCCTTGATGTCGAAGTCTACCTTGCGCAGGAGGTCGCCGCGGCTGAAATTGTAGCGGGGCACGAACCTGGCAGAGCTCTCATCCTCCGAGCGGTACGGGTCCGGCACCGGGGAGCTGAACGGCTGCAGGCGGAGGAGCTGGCATTCTGTGCCGGGGCACACGTACTGGAGGACGATCACCGCAAAGAGGAAGAGCATCACCAAAGCCAGCAGCAGCTTGTTGGATTTCTCATCCATGTTCCCGACGCTGGGGGAAACCCAAGCTCGTTACGTCAGTCCCGCAGCTCGGCCCGCGTCGCCGCGCGCTCGCACCGCCCCCGCCCCCGGCGCCTCTGTCGCGCCCCTCTCCCCCCTCCGCTCCAAGCCCTCCGCGGCGGCCGGCCCGCTTCCTTCCTTCCCGGCAGGCTCAGCGCTGCGGCTTCTGCCGCACCCCCCCCCCAACACTCTTTCCCGCGGGCCGCCGGCCCCTCCCCCACCGGGCACCCAGACCCACTGCGCGGGGCTTCGGACCTGCAGGACACTGCTGGCCCCCGCCGGCCCGATCCCAGACTTGCACCCCAGGGCCAGACTCCCGCGAGTCCTGCTCCGCTCCTCCTGGCCCCTGTGGCCCCGTACCCATCCTGCTTGTATACCGGGATCTGTTCTGGTTCTGTCCCAGAGCCCTGGGCACGCGCCCTGCCGCCTGCCCGCCTCCCTCCCCACGCGTCCCCAATCCTGCCGTAGACCCGTTGTCCACCTTTGGAGTCCGCCTCGAGTGCACGCGGGGCCCGGTGTTCCGAGTCCCCAGGAGGAGGACCCTGGCGGCAGGCCGACTAACCCATGGAGATGCCGCGAGCCGCTGCCCCGCGGATCGGTAGCGAGGGTACCGTGATGTGGCTCAATGCGCGCCGCGCCCCTCGGGAGCCCGAGCCCGGCCGCCCCGGGCCGCCGGAACTTTGCTTCCTTCCCTCCTCTCGCCGCGGCCGCCTTGCCCCGCGCGGTCCCCGCATTCCCCGGCAAGAAATCGCGAGCCCCGCGCTCGCTGAGACCATACCTGGCCAGGGGGCCGAAGATCTTGGAGAAGATCGCACCGAGCACGTGCTTGAGCGAGTGGCCCAGGGCGGCCAGGCCCCGAGTGAGCAGGGCCCGGCAGAGGTAGCCCAGGTCCCAGCGTCGCCTGAAGTCGTGCATCCGCCTGCGGCGGCCTCGGGGCAGCAGCGCGAAGAGCGGAGCGCGCGCAGCTCCCGCCTGGGAGGAAGACGCCTTTCGGGGCTTGTCCGGGAGCGGCTGGGAGTTGAAGGCGAGAGACACACCCCTAGGAGGGCCCGCGCGGACTGAGGCGGCAGCGGAGCCCGGCCGGCTCGCTGCCAACTCGGCCTCCACTCTGGAATGCCGGCGGGGACAGGTGGTGCGGGCGGGCGCTCCTCTCTCCGGTTGCAGCGGCGGCCCGAGCGCCGGGGCTGCACACGCAGGCAGTGCCATTCCCCGCTTCAGGCAACTCAGGGTACTAAGATCAGGAGAGAGCCTGAATTTATATAATAATGCCTCACGCCCAAGAGCTCTAGCCACTTCGCAGGCGAGGACTTGGCGTTTCCTTCTGTCTTGGGGAATGGAGGTCACTCAAGTGAGTGCATCACTCCACTTGGGCTTGTCATTTCAGCCTCCCCTAAATAGCTAGGTGCAAACAGGACCTCTGCCCTCCTCTTTCTGCCTCTTTCCATTCTCTGGCTGTAGCAGGGAGGGAATTTCTCTGAAAAGGTAAGTCAGCACGAAGGAGCAAGCATGACCAAAAACATTTTTACAGAATGCGAAGCGCGTGCTGGCAAGAGGGCTTCCACTCACTTAAGGTTGCATTGAATGACTAAGAACTGTATCTGTTGCATTGTCTGCTGCAGGGTAAGGTGACAAGTGAGGTAACTGAGGACCAGAGAGGGATAGGGAGGCTCCCGAGGTCACACAGCAACCCCCCATGTTTTGAACCATGTTTTGAGAAGTCGTGTCCCATCTATCAATTTCGGGACACTTAAACACCCCTTCTAAAAAAGAGTCATTCTTAAACATCCAGCATTCAAAAGGTTTCTCCCCTCCTCCTGCTGCAGAATCTGTAGGGATTTACATGAAGAGCTGTCCCTTTAAGATAGAGCCCCTGGGAACCCAGAACGCTAGCTCTCCCCATCGGATTGATGGGGCAGAGCTACTAGCTATATGTGCCAGGGCACCGGTTTGCAAAGAATGATCACGCCCTCCTGCCAATCCCAGTGCTGTGGAAGTGAGGTGGGGAACAGTGGAAGTGAACAGAGGTGTATCAGAATGGTGCAGTCAGCACAGAACGAGGAGCTGGGAGCAGAGGCCAGGGGTGGGGGGCATGTCCCTCCACAGACTGGCCCTCCAGGTGTCTCAGCCCTGAGCCTTGTTCTCCCTGAGTGATAAGGCAGGAAACACTGGTCCAGGAGTCCGGGATAAGATCTGCCAGCTTCTTTGATGGGTGGCTCTCAGGAAATCACTAGGACCTCCTGAGCCTCGTTTTCTCCTGCTGTAAAATCAGATCAGTATTATGCCCTGTCCTGCCAGGGTCCCTGAAAGGATGGAATGTGGGAACCATGCAACTCCAAATGGGAGGCTGTGTTGACTCAAGATCTCAGGTGCTGACTGAGTCAAGTAAGAAAGAAGAGTCCCTGCTCAACTACTTCAGTGCCATGCCACTGCTCTTCCTGGCTGGATTTCCTGTGTCCCCACCTCTCTTGGGGACAGTGAGGGACCTTCTGTCCAGCTGCAGGTGAAAGGGACGGTGGGCTCCTGGGGATCATTGCCTTCGACAGCAGACACAGTAATGTACAAGGCAGACCCTGTTGCTTTCCAGGGGTTCCCCTGGTAACCCCCGGCTTGTGGGCCACAACCTGTTTCCTGTGAGGCCTAGTAAAGGGGGGGGTAATCTTGGGGATTGAGACAGCGTGGAGTAGCCCAGGAGTTCAATCAGGCTGCCGTGTCTGCCTTCTCCTTGGCAACAGGACAGTCTCTTTAGCCAGTCAAGTAGGTGGCTCACTTCGTGATGCAGTACAGGCAGCTCATTGCCATGAGACCACCACTCTGATAGCACTCAGTGGGACCTAAGACAATATAGCTAGGACAGAGGAGTCCCACAATCAAGCTTCTAGCAACTAACTGGAGTTTCTTCTATAAGAGAGAGTCAGGTGAGCAATAGGATAAGTGCTTTGGGGGATTGGAAGATGTATAATGCAAAGCACAGGGGAAAACAAGATTTAGTCCTTTCAGAAGGAATCCTGGAGAATCAGTGATTAAACAGACATTCTGCTGCTAACTGAAAGGTTGAACGTTCTAATCCACCAGCCTCTCCGTGGGAGAAAGATGTGATGACATCCGTGAGAACTTGATGGGACAGTCCTCTGTTCTACAGGGTTACTGTGAGTAGAAATGTACTTGAAAGCAGTGGGCTTGGGGTTTTGGTTTAGTTTTGTGTTGGGTGATGAACAGTATCACACATCTTTGAAAGCACACACACACACACAAAGTCAGATTTTCAGATGGGGGGGAGAGTCAAGGTAGTTATTTCTTGGTAGGTACCATTGAGCTGACTATAGCTGATAGTGACTCTATGAGTAACAGATCAAAACCTCGCCCTATCCCACACCATGTTCACAATCTCTGCCATGGTCAAATCCATTGTTGTAGTTAATGTCAATCCATCTCTTTGAATGTCTTCCCCTCTTTTACTGACCCTCTACTTTTCCCACTATGGCCTTTTTTTCCCCAAGGTCTGGTGCTTCCTGACAAGATGCCCCAAATAAGTGAGACTAAAGAGTAAAAGAGAGGACAAGTCGGGCTGTCTGTGTCTTGTCTTGTGACAAGTCCAGTGTCTGGGATCTGATGTGTCACAACAGCTCACTGGAGGATATTTGCATTTTAAAAGCCCTTCTGCACCCCTCATCATGTTGTCAGGAACAAAGAATTGACTCTCTAATGGTGGAATCCAGTTACCAGGGCTCCTGGAAGTGGTCAAAAGCTATCTTTAGGGGGAGTGCAGCTCCCACAGGACTCAAAGGACGCCTCCTGGGGCGAAGAGACTCCCTGTGAAGAAGTGGGGAATTCTGTGTATGCAGCCACCATGTTCTCCCACAGCCAGGCCTCAGTTAGGGAGGACTGCTCCACTGGCCTCTCACAGCCCTGGACTGGGCCCAACTCCCAGGAGCCAGTTCTTCCCAGAAATGGACCAAGGAAGGCCCTGATGCTGCAGGATTGGGTCTTTTACAGGCCTGGGAGATCATGGGAGTGATAAAAAGGTGTTGTTGTTGTTATTGTTATGTGCCATTGAGTCATCTGCGACTCAACAGGGCTGTGTACAACCCTGAACCCTACTCTATCCTCTTATTGACACTGACACAACTACCCCCATTTACCCCAGTCACTGCATCAATCCATCTCATCGAGGGATTTCCTGTCCTGCGCTGTCCCTCCACCTTCCCAAGCATGATGCCCCCATCCAAGGACTGCTCCCTCCTTGCAACATGTCCAAAGTATGTCAGATGAAGCTTCAGAATCCTTGTCTCCAAGGAGCAGCCTGGCTTCACCCGTTGTTAGGTGCCTTCAAGCACCTGTAGCAACGTTATGACTAACAGATCTGAACCCTGTCCTATCCTGTGCCATCCTCACAATCTCTGGAACACTCAAGCCCAAGATCTGGTCAGATTGCCAAATCTTTAGGTTTCCAGCTCCTGAAATGTTAGACCCACCTGGGTTTGCTTGCATGTGTATTTGGGCTTCTGTGCTGGGAAAGTGAAGAGAATTCACTCTGCAGTCTGAACAAGCTGCCTGGTTGTCTTCACAGTGTGGTTCTTTTTTCATCATTTCTCCAGAACTGTCTTCTCCCATGGTCTCCACAAAACGGTTGACGATTCTGGGAGTGTAAAGGTCAGCCCTACTTGCACTGCACTTCCAGATGTGCGTTTGGCTGCTGTCACGTGGAGATGCCAGGAGGAGGTAGTTGAAAGAGCACTGGCCTGAGAGACAGAGACCAGGGCTTCTGGGCCTGACTCGGTCACTAAGGAGATGTGAGATGCCTCTGAAGAAGCTTCGCTCCTGGGCTTGGGCTCCCTCTTTGTAAAATGGCAAGATCAATGCCATGCTCAGTTTTTCTGATCTCACTTTCTAAGCCAAATGTTTTCTTTTCTTCCTTAAGGGCCAAAGTGCTGCCAAACATTCAGGGCCTCATCCCAGGGAGAAAATCATAGGTCCAGACCGTGAGTGTCTATGGGGCAGTCACATATTTGATCCCACCAGACAACCACGGGCTTTTTCTGGGCCTGAAGAGCAATGATTTCACTCTGGAGACTAAGGTGTGCTTGATCTAGGCCATGGTCTTTGCAATCACTTGCTATGCATCAGAAAGCTGGACAATGACTAGGGAGGATAGAAGGAGAATTGATGCTTTGAGCTGTGGTGCTGGAGAAGAGTATTGAATATACCATGGACTGCTAAGAAAACCAACAGGTTCGTCCTAGAGAGGGTTAAACCAGGCTGATTCAGAGGCTTTGTCTATGAGCATGTTGCAAGGAGAGACCAGTCCTTGGAGAGAGACATCATGCTTGGGAGGGTGGAGGGGCAGCAAAAGAGAGGAAGACCCTTGATGAAATGGGTTGACTAGGGTAATGAGGGTAGGTGTGTCAGAAACAGTAAAGTTGGCTCAGGATAGAACAGGGTTCAGGGCTATTGCACATAGGGTCACTATAAATTGCAGGTAGCTCGATGGCACATAACAACAACAACTTTAAAAAAACCCCAAACACTAACCAAATGAAACAAACCTCTAACCAAGTAGCTTCCAACTCGTTAGCAACTCCAGAGAAGAATTGCTCTGTACAACATGCAGGTCGTTCCACTGCAGTCCCACTGGTGGATTTGTACCACAGACCTTAATGGGGTTTAGCTGCTGTGCAATGCTATCAAGTTGGTACCAATTTCCTATGTACAAGAGAACAAAACATTGCCCGACCCTGCCTCATCCTCACAATCGCTGCTAAATGAACCTTTCATGGCTGCCACTTTGGTCAACTCCTCTTGGGGGGGATGTGTGTCTCTTTATCGCTCATATACAACTTACTTGTTTTGCTGAGCCCCTCCTTTACCTAGCATTATTGTGTGATGCCTTGAACTGCTAACTATAAGGTCAGTGGTTCGAATACACCAACAACTCCATGGGGGAAAACTGGGTGGTCTTCTTCTTTTTTTCTTTTTTAAATTATTATGATTATTAATTTAAATGAAAATTTACAGACACTGGATTTCCATTCATACATTGTTGCACTTTTCTCCCTGCCCACCCCTTCCCCCCAGTTCACTCTTCTCTTTAAAAAGTAAAACAAAAATTCTTTCATTGGTATACAATCCCACCTCCTAAGTCCTCTCCACTCTGCTCCCTTCGTTCTGGACTCCTGTCATGACAATAATACCTTATCATACATCCCTTT